ACGATGAAGACGCTGTGATACTGGCCTGCCGCCGCCCTCGCCGGCGGGTTGGACTCGCACAGCAGCGCCGAATAGCACAGCCACCGCACGGCGCAGCCCTCACCCTCTGGCTGCGCCGGCAGCTCGAAGCCGCGCTCTTGCGCCCACAAGCGGATGGCCTCTAGCGCAAGCGAGGCGTGGGAGAGGAGCGAGACGGCCGCGACGCGAGCGATGTCGGCGGGGTCGCAGCGAGAGAAGGTGCGCACGAGGAGGTCCGTGGGGAGGTCGAGGAGGCGGGCGGGCGGCGGCGTGTCTGGAGAGGGAGCGGCGGTGGAGGCCAAGGCGAGGCGGCGCGAGCGGCGGCGCGGCGGGGTGGACATCGCGACGAAAAGAATCTTCAAGCCCACCAACAGAATGAGGCGTGAATCCTTTAGGATTCTCGCCCGCTCTGCTGAGGGGAGGGGACGGTCGACTGGGCCGGTCGCTCGACCCGATTCTACTCTACTCTCAGTCTACCATTCATGGACAATAGTGTCTGTGACGGCGGTCACATTCACAGCGAGGTCAGTTCACAGCCGAGGGGACGGTCGACTGGGCCGGTCGCTCGACCCGATTCTACTCTACTCTCAGTCTACCATTCATGGACAATAGTGTCTGTGACGGCGGTCACATTCACAGCGAGGTCAGTTCACAGCCGAGCAATCGATCCTGACACGCTCCACTTTCAGGGCTCGCCGCGGCTCGAGCAAGGTCAATGGCGATCGGCATCTTGCCAGCTGTGGCTTGCCCGTCTACCGCTACCGCGCCTTCAGATACAGTCGCCCCTCCCGCCCACGCCGGCGACTGCCTGAGGTGCAGTTGACATCTGGATGACTGCGCATAATGGGGTTGACCCGCCGCGCAGCAACCCGATGTTCACGATTTAGGTTTCCGTCGAGTGACGAGTCTCGTCCGAGACGTCTAGTCTCATCCCGCCTCGTGGCATACCTGTTCTAGTGTGTCATGGGTGTCCCAGTGGTGTTCTCGTGTGTGGGGGAGGCTCAGCAGCCCACCACAGGGAGGTTTCGTCAGTCTCGGCGTCGCATCTGCCGCGCCGAGATTCGACGGACCGAAGGGGTGTAGAGGCTAGCGCTCTCGGTCGAGAGAAGCGCATTACTCAAGACAATGATTACTACATCATGCACGACCTCGAGCGTGCAACGCCGCACAGTGCTCAGGGTTCGAGCAGGTGCAGGCGAGTGGAGGGGCCCCTGGCAGAGTTGAGACATTCTGGGTTCAAAATGAAACGAATCGAGTGACTCTCCCTTGTGCCCCCATGCCGCGCGCAGTTCTCCTCCTGCTCCTGTCGCCGAGCAGCAGCGCTCTTCGCGTGGGCCCCGTGAGCTTCACCAACATCTTCTCTGACACCGCTCTTCGCGCGCAAACGCAGAGCGTGCGTTCGGCCCCCAGCACTCGTCTCGACACAGAGCGCGGTAGCACCGACCATCTCCTTGGCCCTTACTGCGCAGGTGCGCGGCCGGAGCTACGCAAACATGACCAAGTTATCGTCTTTCCGCGACCCCGTCGTGCGGACAGAGCTCAACACGCCGAGTGAGCTGCGGCAAGGCCCCGCGACGGCGTGGATCACGGCACCCTACCGCCTCTCCGTGCTCGCCGCCTGCTGGATGCTCTACCCTCCCTTGATCCTCTCGCTCCGATCGCTGCTGTCCCCGGCGACGCTGACGGGGGTGATGAACGCGGGGGGCATGCCCGGCGATGGCCTGCCGCTCGACGCGGGAGCCATCACCAGCGGATTCGCGCCCGCCATCTCGCTGCTCTACGGCGCGTGGCTCG